ATCCCTCAACCAAGCCTGAATCTCAGAGAATCCCTGAAAGGCAGCTGAGTCCTACCAGGACGTCCCAGTCCCCAAAGCCCAGCAGTTCACACTCTTTGTCCTTGAAGGAGAAACCATGTCAGACCTCAGGAAGAACTCTTTGCCTTTCTGGTCTCAGTCCTCCAACCTTCGGAATTAACAGTAGGACTGGAAAATCACCAAGCCTCTTCCAGCCATGATGTCACAACACACTAAGATGTATGTGAGAAAACATCACACCTTCTGGCCAGATGCAGACATGGGCCAGGCAAGGGGCAGGTGGGGGAGGATCTAGCCATGTCCTCACACTCTGTGTCCTGCCACTGGACTCCCAAACACTAGCCAGCCACAGGGGCCTCCAATGGGGGATAAGGGATCCCAGGCCAAGTGTCACATGCTTGAGGTAGAACCTCTGCTTGAGGTGCACCATCTTTGGCTCATGCAATGACACCAGAACTATGAGGGAGCAAAGGCTCTCGGGCTTGGGCCCACTGGATCTGCTGCTACAGCAGGTAACTCCATAGAGGCCAGTGTATTTGCATGGGAACATGAGACATGCCCAAGTTCCAGCACAGCCCAGTCCAGAAAAGCATTTAGGAAGCCTGGAGTCTGGACATTGGTGCCTGATTTGACCTTGGCCCTCCTCCTGGAGACCAGAGATGGTGAGTTTGCAATCTCCTTACAGAAAGTGATATCCTTTCCAACATACATAGCAAAGAAGTACTGGTACCCTAGGCCTGTGAGTTTCTCAGAGTCGTGCCTCAAATCCCCTGGCACCTCCCCAAATCTTAAGAATCCCAGCACTGGTCCCCTTTCCAAGCTCCCAAATGTTACTTCCTCTGAGAGATCCAGCCACTAGTCCCTACCCTGAGAGGCACAAAGCCAGGGGCACAGGAGAAGGTCTGGCTTTGGGGTGGTGTGAGGGCACATATCCACCTCCAGAATGAGCCAAAAAAGAAGCTGACTCAGCAGAGCAAGGCCCATGGCTCTGGAAACCCAGGTTTTGCCATTACCTTTTTCTGTGATGCCAAGCAGATAATCTATCCCTCCTTAGGCCTCAGTGTCCCCTTGTTAATGAAGGCTTTGAAGATGAGTATCTAGAAGCATCCCCTCCCAATCTCACACTGTAGGATCAGTGTTTTACTGACTCAAATGACTAGGTTTGAGACACACCAGCCCGCCAACTACTCCCCTTGGAGCAGAGGCCAACACCTGCCAGTACAATAAACTGGTTCCTCCAGCCTAGAAGGCCTAGCCCTGCGGCCTCAGCTCTGTCTCTACAAACATTCCTTTCTCAGCCTCTTGGCTGCCTGCTCTGTTCCTGCCCAGCCCCAGAGACCTGGGGCCTCCCTCTTTGCACTGGGCTGGCCTGCAGGGGTGCAGAGGGAGGGCCATAGGGAAGTGCAGAGGAAGGGAGGGGCAGAGTAACCAGCAGGAACTAGAACAAAACCTTTCCAACAAAGGCAGCTTCTCCTGGCTGGCCTCTCTCCAGCTTCCCAGAAGCCCTCACGTAGCAAGCAGAGGGATCAGCTGAAACACCCAAATCTCACTATGCCCGAGCTCTTCATACACTCTGGAGCTCCTTTTAGCCCACTGCACACCTCTGGGGACCCTCCACCCTGGCCAGACAGATATGTTCACCCTTAGGCCCCTCTTGCCCACACTCACCCCTCCCCCTGCAGCCCCTCTACACCTACACATATACTTCTTCCCTTCCAACCTCCTAGCTTTTGCTCAAGCTGTTACTCCCACCTGGAAGCCCACCAGTTACCTCCTTTCTACTCAAACTCTGCTAGCCTTTATGACCCACCTCTTAGAGAACTCTAGCACTTGCTGGCCTCCTCTGCCCCGTGGGTAGCTCTGCACTGTGAACGAACATTTCCTACATAGAACTCCTGAATCCTCCCCTATCCCTGCCTGCACCTCTCTGCCACTGGCTAGATTGGGGGCAGGATAATGATTCCTATCTGTGCAAATGATTATCTCCCCAGAGATTGCGAACTTGTAGTAACCTATTTGAAACCACCTTATGCAGATTTATCTCATTCTTTCTGAGACCTGTTACATTTTCTCTTATACCTGGATTTTCCTGGCAGCACAAAAATCCTGCCATTGCCTCCCTTCAACTCCTGTGTGACATAGGTGGCACAGCAATGGCTTGCTGCTCAGGCTGTACACTGCATAACTCCAGGGGAGTCATTCACTAGACCACAGTGCAGTGACCTGCAGCCTCTATCTCTTCCCTTAACAAGTAATCAGTTAACCAGGTTTTACAGAAAACCCCTCACAGGTCATGGAACAGACCCAAAACTCATAGGTCAGGTTCCTACAGCCTCAACTCCTGGCCTTCAGCCTCCTTTTGTTTGAATGTCAGCCCCCAGAGTGAGGGCTTGACATCTGCTGCCCGTCCAAAGTAGGTGAAAACTGAACAGCCACCCCTCTGTGGTACATCCCCTCCTTGGGCCTCAGTTTCCCCAACTCAAAAGAGAAATATTTGGGTTCCTAATCTTCAAGGGCTCCCTATTTCCTAAAGCTCACTAATTTATTCCACACAGATTTTTGCAAACAGGGCAAATGTGATTCCCATATACAAATTACTGCGTGCCAGTTTTTAATTCAATAGGTTCTGGAGCCTAAATAAGAGAAAGGACATTTACAAAATGCAAAGTAGCTTGAAAGAGCTGAGAAAAGAAGGAGTGATCAGATCTTGCAGGTCAGTCAGTCCCAAAAGGCTCCTTGAGGTGGCAGCTGATGATGGGAGAGGAGCCTGAACAGTGAGATTGGCAGAGGAGGGGAGTCTGTGTTGCCTCGAGGAGAAGAAAGGGCCAACCATGAAATTGCAGCAGGAGAATCACAATGTTAGAACAGCACGAAGCATGGATGCTCAGAGCAGAGCAGTTTTTCCACCTGTCACTGAAACAAGTTCCCCTGGACTCTGAGCTTAGGGATCGAAGGCCTCAGGGACTGGGACTGACACCTCCATTAGGTGAGGCGGATGACCTCTCAGGGCAGTAATAGAGAAACTCATTAGAGTCCAATAGACGTGGCTCTGAATCCAGGATTTGCCCAGAACCTCTGGACACCTTAAGGGAACTATTTCTCTAAGCATCTGTTTCCAGATGCTTTAAAAAGGGGAGAGTAGGCTCGGCACCTATAGCTCAACCAGCTAAGGCGCCAGCCACGTACACCTAAGGTGGCGGGTTCGAATCCCCAGCCCGGACCCGCCAAAACTACAATGACGGCTGCAACCAAAAAATAGCCAGGCGTTGTGGTGGGCGCCTGTGGTCCCAGCTACTTGGGAGGCAGAGGCAGGAGACTCGCTTGAGCCCAGGAGTTGGAGGTTGCTGTGAGCTGTAATGCCACGGCACTCTACCCAGGGGGACAGCTTGAGGCTCTGTCTCAAAAAAAAAAAAAAAAAAAAAGGGGAGAGTAACATTTCCTTCCTCCCAGGATTGTTATAAGGTAAAGTACTTAGCACGTTACCTAGTACATAGTCTAGGCATCGATTGTTAACTGATAACTGCAGTCATGATGACAGCATCCCAGAAGTGACCTGTGTCACAGTGTCCAGGTACACGCATGTGCACACATATACACAATGGCAGTGGACAGGACACGTGCCCCGCCATGAGCCCTTTGTGAGTAGAGGTGGGAAAGGACCCAGGCATGATGCAGGGAGGAGGGAGGCAGGGAGTCTTTTCCAGCCTCCTTGGTGTCATCTCATGGTGCCTCCCTCAGGAGAGGAAAAGGGAGGGGAGTGAGAAAGGGGGTGTTTAGATGTGTTCCATATTTGCTGTGTCTCACACAACCAGCCCCACCCTCACAGGACTCCTCAGGGACAGAATGGGAGTATATTCTCAGGCAACCAAATCTCACACTCAGTGACCAAACAGGGAGATGGGGACCCAGCTCAGGGTCCCCAAGTGTTGCCGGGCATGGGGATGGATTTACACACCGCCCAGTGGTATTCACACCCAGGGTGTGTGCAGGTGAATTCGCTCTCATTCCATCACTGTCATGACGGGTCCTAGGGGCTGGCATGGCACCTGCCAACGTCACAGGTTGGGATTCTCACACATCAGCCTCACAAGCAGCACTGCTGAGACCCGGCTTGCTGCCGCCTACTGTACAGCCAGCCCTATGGGGACAAGCTTTTCCACCCAGGCCTCCCAAGGCACCACCGGCCGGAGTGTGCAAACAGGGCCTGAGTCCCCCTAACCCCAGCGCCCAGCTGTGGGCCTGGCACAGCGCAGATGTTGGTGAATGAACGTCTGGCTGGATGAATGAACGAATGACTAATGCCTGCTCCCTCAAGCCACGGGCTCCCTCAAGGCACGGGCTACACTGCGCCTGGGGGAGGGCAGAGCCCACCGGACCCCAGAGCGGCCCCACCTTCAGACCTCCGCACCTGAGGCTCTGCCTCCCAGGTCAGGTGGGGGGAGGGGGCGGGACGGCTCAGTAGCCAGCGCAGCGCGGAGCACCCCTCCTTCCTGAGAAGAAATCTGGGTCTCCTGACTGAAATGGGAGGGTGGCGGACGGGGACCGGGGTTGTCGCGTCCTGGATAGAGCGAGTGGCAGGACAAGGGGGCGCGTCCTGGTTCGCTTTGGGGGGCGTGGGATGAAACGGCGGCCTCGAGACGTCGCCTTCGGTCCGGAGCTTGGGTCTGCCAAGGGTTTCCGGAGGGTGGGGAGAGCTCCCAACAGCGGAACTGAACTGGGGCACCGCAGACCTGGCCCTTTCCAGCGGGGGCATGGAGAATGGAACGCGGTATCCCACGAGGTGACCCGGGTGGCAAGAAGGACGGGGGCGCGCGGGGCCCCCTCTCCAGGCGCCGGGTCCGGCCTCGCCACGGCCCCCTCCCACCCTCCAAGAGCCTCCGCCCACCTGCTCCAGGGGCTCACCTGGTCCGGCCGCCCCTCCTCGGGACTTGCAGGTCCCTCCCCCGGGCCACCGGCCCTGCGCTCCCGGCGCCCGCCCTCACCTGCACGGCCCGCCT